GAGTTTTACCCGTGCTTTCATCGAGCCTTCTTCAAACAATGTATCGTTGATATATCATTTTAGGAAAAAACTATGGTGTTGAAAAGAGAAATAATGAGTAACAATAAACTGGGATATTTAAACTTGTAAGAAAGGCAGTTTTGTATTAATGAAGCATTATTTTTCAACTTCAAGGGTTGAATTTACGAGTATGTTTTGTTCTAAAGGTGTTAACATGTTTCTCTCTGTGAGCCTAAATGATTATTGTGCTTAAATGGCACCTCAAGGAGAAAGGCACAATGCAAGAAATGACAAAGAACAATAATTGAACCTCTATGCATGGTTATGTATCGTGCATTGGAAATGTGGTGCATTAAAAATTATGGTATGTTCTAACGCTAAAAAGGTGTTTTTCATTTTTTAACCATGAAAATGCAGCAATAAATTTTAAGCCTAGAAGAAACTTTGGTACATGTGCATCTCGAAAAGCTTTGTCTATTCTGGTCTGTATGGTTTTATTGTAGAGTTAAGTTAGATTGAAACTTGATAATTTTTGGTAAATAGTAGGGCAAAATAGCTTCTTTTAACTACCCTACATTTTGTTAACAGCAAAATAATTTCTTTAAATCAAAGCTTTATGCAGAAAATATGTTCTCTCTGTAATACTCATAATTTGATCGCAAAACAACGTAGCCAAAAATCAAGTTTTTATACACGAGTTTAGAGAAACTGTAACAGTAAATGTATAGTAAGTCCATTTTTTACAAAAAGGTGGTCACCAACATTGTGCATATGGCCGTAATTTGAGAGGCCAGCTAAATGAGAGGACCAAAAACAAAAACAAAAAGAAAAAAAACTTCTAGGCAAAGGAGAGAACCAACAACAAACTCAATCCAAATATGAGACTCTCCTAGGGGGGAGTAGGGGGGGGGGGGAGAAATGTCCTTAGTCTGAATTTCAAATATGGTTTTTTTGTTTTTTGTGAAGTAGGCTGTGTCCTTGTAAGTATTCAAACCATCTTTATGTCATTATTGTGTCCCTGTTTCATCTAGTCTTATTTGGCTGTTTTAAAGCCATGTTGCTTGTTGGAATTTTATTTTGTAGTAAGGTTTTTCAAAATCTCCTTCACTATTATACAGTAGAACCTACCTTACAACCACCCTGTTTATACAACCACCTCATTAACCCGACAGCTTCACCTCATAAATACGACCATATTCTTTTCCCCCAAATGTAAAAAGCACTGAGTCATTTTTTTAAATTGTTATTTTGATAACCCTGTATATACGACCAACTCATTATTACGACCTGGATTTTCCAGCCTAAAGATGGTCGCATTGATGGGTTCTATTGTTTGTAAATATACACATTATTCTGTAATAACAATAATGTTTGTGCTGTAGTTTTCACATTTTTAACTCGAAATATGCTTTTTTACTAAAAAAAAATTGTTTTCCATGGCTAATGTTAATTTTTTGTAATATTTCTTTGAAGATAAAAGTCTAGAGCCATATTTGGAGCAGATTGACAAAGTGGAAGAAAGTGTTGCCAGCCTTGAACAAGCTGCTTACAGACTTGATGCATATTCCAAGAGATTAGGTTTGTAGTTTTAAGAACAAATGTTCACTAAGTCTAGTGTTGTGTATAACTTTGTAATCAAGAAAGCCTGCACTGCAATATTTTGCATACCAGCAATAATGTGAATTACTTTGCATGCATTTATTGCACTAAATGCTCAAACCTTTCACATAGCTCAGGATGTTCATGCTGTATCTTGGACTATGTAAGATTTTTAAAATTTATTCTTCCATCAGGTTTGCTGATGGTCTGAAATTCCTATTTTATGAAAACTTTATTAAGCATTAGAAAAAGGCATCAAAATTCAAACAGTGAGAACTGCCACTAAACTTTGGAAAAAAAAACAAAAAGAAGGTATAAATAACACAACAATTAGAAAAGGAGGCACAGATGGATAGACTTGAAGAAGATTGAAATGGATTGCAATTTTTGGTTTTGAAAACTTGTCGGCTAATAAAATGTTTATTATATGGCTTCCTGTTTGGGGGACCGGAAACAAGTGCAGGAAGCGCGATTTGACAATCATTTGAGAGGGGGCCAAAAAGAGAGAGTTTTTATTCCCTTATGAAAACAATTAGCACATCACAAAGGCTTTCCATGAAAGTGAAATCAAATGCACCATGTAACTTGGAAATGTTTATTTAACAAGCGCTGATTTAGACACTAACTTCAAACATGAGCCTAACCAAATTAATGCATAATGTATTCATTGTTGAAAAATGAGCATTTTCTATCCTTTTGAATTTAGTTTGGCCGAAATAAAGGTCAGCATCTGAATCAATTTAATGAGCCTTGTATTCAACACAAAGTAGTGTTGTCCTACAACTTAACAAGAGTGGTTAACAATTTACCATTTTTATTGCAGAAGCCAAATTCAAGAAGCTAGAGAGAAGATAAAATTGAATTATTCAAAACAATATTTTTTGGATAAAAATTGTATCACTTGAAGCTCACATTATGGGAAGAGGATGTGCTAAGACCACATGTAACTGTGTTATTTGAAAGGCTAAAGTATAGGTCAAACTTTGGTATTAGTTACATGTAATTACTGATTATATAAGAACCTTCCCGCTGGCAGAATCGCCAAGCTGTTGGTATGATACTGGTACATGTAGCCTTATTAAGTCAGAAAACAGTGTTTATTATAGGTCACGAAATGTCAATGGCAGAGTTTTTAATTATAAAGCAACCAAAATCAATTCAACATGTGCATATGTAGCCTCCTATGCAAATTCTTAGGACTTTGTCATGCATAACTTCTGATGATGCCTTGAGAATGTCTATATTGTAACTTTTTATCTCAGGTTGTAATTATTATTTCTCCTTTGTTTTAACTTTGTTAGCATACATATTACCATAACCAAAAACAAAAGAAAAACAAAAACTACCTGAGATAAAAAAGATTTGCTGCAACATCTATGTTGGAGCCTGGGGGGGGGGGGGGTCCCCAAAACACAAGAGAAGGGACAGGGAAGATAAAATGGGGGAAAAAATAAAAACCCAAAAAAACCACAGGCAAAAAAATAAACCCCCCAAAAATCCAACACAAAATTCCCTAGCCAAAAAAATTTAATTACATTCCGAAAAATATCATACTGGCCCCACGGGGAAACT